TCTATCTAAGTCATCATTGGGGCGAACATGGCAAGGGTGGGTTCACGGGGGGTGGCATCGCCGTTCTTGAGGGTTGTCGCCCCAGGGCTCCTTGGCAACATGCTTTGCCACTCTTCGGACGCTTCGTGAACAGACGACTTACGTCGTTTCAGGGGTAATACCAGTCGCGTTGCTACGGCGGAGCGCGATGGAACCTACGCAACCGGATATGTATCGAAAGAGGTCGTTTGTCTAGACGTAGCGTTGAACTTACTTGGGCACGTACAGGCTATTCGAAGAAAGGCAGGACGTGCGAACAGTGCGAATGACCGCACTTACTTCACTCAAGGTTCTTACTTTAAGGTACCTCAAAATGGGTAAGGGAACAGAACTAGATCCACCTAACCTATGTACAACATATGAACAGTTAAGTAAGCGCACGGAAGTATGTTGCTTTGTTTGGACACGACGGCGTACATTTGTGAGATGCATATTTAACAGTATCGTGACGAAATACAGCAGACGCAGAAATAATGTTCCGAACAAAGATAATAACTGTGCTCAAACTGCATTACATCCTCACCCCGTGCTATTGACAATAGCCTATTTTCATCCTATGTTTATGTCTTATACTTGTATTTATACAGCAGAAGCAATCAAAAAGTAGATTTTTTTCCCTATACTACACAGTTATTAGTGTTTTTAGTATAGATACTGATATTGTTGAACAGGTATGCGCATCGTTCGAGCTAGCAGGTTGTTATCTTTGTTGTTGTAACCTACCAAGTACCGCCTACAAGTTTTGCATTCGATGACAGAAATAGCTCACTCACTGCGAAGCGTTGCTTACAAATGCAAGTTAATCCAAGTTCGGTATAAAAATACTTGAAAATTACATTATGCTGACGATTTAAATTGATCTTAGATATAGAAATACATGCGATGTCTCTTTCAATGCCTATTTAACTTCAACTAGCAAATAATAATAATAATAATAAAACTTATTTGCAAGCTGACGTTTTCTCATGAAATGTTCCACGTATTTTAGACCTCCTGCAAACTTGATAACTGCTTCGTTTTGCATGAACTTGAAGAAGATGTGTAATATTTTACACTGTATAAAAAAAAAGATTGCATTCCTTTGTCCGTACAAGCGAAATATTAATTCTCTGTGCGAACGTATATTGGACTATTTGAGTGAGGATGTAGCATATATGACACAGCGCATGTTGGCTGATATAAAACAGGCGAAATGGCACACTATGATGACATCGTAAAGGACATTCTAAGATCTTACTATTTGTTTATCGGCAGGGTATATAACAGGTAAGTGCGTTAAGTCCGTGAAAATGCAACACGTACGTTTCTAGCCTCGCTTCTTCATTATTATTTTCTTTTTCATAGCATTTTTAATGCTCCACAAGTTACGGTGGGACCCCCCTAGCTGACTTGAATGAATGAATTTTTCGCGCCTTTTTTCTGCTAGTACTTGTTTACTTTTGTGCGAGAAAGACGTCTTGAACTACTCTAACAGGAACGAGTGTGGAGCGAGGGTGGAGCAACCGATTGATTGTTAGAGAAACAACTGAGCGCCTTGTCGTTGAAACTTATTTTACAAATATAACATAGAGAAATTTCAGTTTTAACCAAACTCCAGTGGCTCAGTCGACGCATTGTTTGGGTACATTTTTTAAGTGTACATTTTATGATAGAGAGACGAATATATACAGTTTTATTAGAGTAGGATACAGAATCAACATTTACTGCTAGAGTTCGCTGCAGTGAAGCTTTTTCACAAAACACATTAAAGCGGATTTTACGCTGCGGGCGAACTGCGGAATAACTGGAAGAATCGGAATGTCAATGCGAAGCTTAAATGGAACCTCGACTTTGAGAACAGAATGGACCATCCACGCATTTCTAAGCCGAGCACCGTCTGGCCAGCTAAGAAATGACTATTCAAATGGCCTTTGAAGTATCTGTGTTGTATCTTTCGAGCCCTCTCTAATATATGCCACCGTTGAAGTTTTCCGCTTAAACGGCGTGCTAGATGCACGCGCGTTTTAGAAAGGAATAACTCTTTCAATGGGCTCTCCGTGGATATTTTTCCCATTTAGACGTTACGCGTCGCCAACACATCCCTCACGATCCTTCGTTTAGGAAAATAAATTATGACTTACAGAGGAAAAGCAAAAGAAGCCATCCTCTCACCCCCATTTGGGGGTTATATTGGGAACTAAATATGCGTGTGCTACCTAGTGGACCTTCGTATCGTGCTATGAGTTGGACACCAATATTTGGGCACTGTTCAAGAGTCAGCCTGATAGAGTATGAGCTAATTTAACTATCTCGAGTCTTAAATTTGCTACCCCGCCATTAGGCGTTCATCAGATGGACCTAATATCGATATGCTGAAAAGGTCTGGCAGTGAGAAATAGGGGAGCGACATGCATAGTCGCAAGAATAATGCTTTTCAAAAGCTTTTGTGAAAGCCCATTTATAGCTCAAAGCAGTATTGGCAGGATCAATTGTGTCACTATCATGGACGCTCAGTATGTAGACATTCCGAAAGAGGAAATTTAAGCGTTTGCAGAACTTTCCCTCTGGTAATATTTTGGCTTATGTGTAAATTTACGTACTGATAACATTCGTAGAGAAAGCGATATAAGCCTTTGCCCGACGTCTCAGAATGGGTCAACAATTTTGAAGTATGAAAAATAATAGTTTATCTTTTCTGCTTGTTTTGCCGTTTCAGTATCTCTCGCATATGGAGAACAACGTAAAAATAGCTATCCTTAGCTCATATTTTTAAGGAGTTCCTTTAGAAAAAAAAAAAGCTGATCAATTAGAAATGATTATTACAAATCCTCGTTGTTCTATAGGTCCCATCATTACGAAAGCCAGCTACAATAAATTAAATTCCTCTGAACGTTGACTAAATGGATAAAACAGGAAAAGTGAATAGTGTGCCTCATCTAGAGTGCGTTTATATGCCTGTACCATTTTATGTTTAAGTGCGGATTTCATCATAATGTTTGTATAATGCCACTGTCCATTTGTGCACTGAGTTCGTTACTAGTCTGTTATTTGTTAGATTTTTGGACCAGCACCTTCTAACCTTCTGCACCGTCTGTGCCTCTCGAATGGCAGCAAAGTACATGTAATCAATATTTTCAATAGATTCAATTTTGCGATAGGATATTTCGAAATACTGCCAATGTGGCTTGGAATCGGATATCAGCCAAAACCATTCTCACGCTCATCTTTCATCCTGATTGAATACGCGTTTCGTTTTTTTGCATGACACGTAGTTGTTTGGTCAAACGTCTAATAACGTCTTTGTTTATTTTTTACGAACAATACTTGTAAGAATAACAAGTATCTAAATCCTTGTTAATAGTTAATTAGTAGCAAACGAAAATCTTCGACGGAAATAAATTGGCGTATTTCTAAGAAATGATTTTGCTCACAGTCACGGAAGCACAACAAGTTTTATCAGCAGATAGAGATTGATAAATAGAGACTGCCGAAAGTTACTAGGTTAGTTTTTTTGATACTGCAATGGTAAATAATGCCTCTGATAACGTAGAGACCAATTTCGAATATGGAAGTATGTTTACGCTACTAAACTGCACGGTGAGCTCTATTCTATAACTAAATAACTCAATTTATTAAATAAAAACGATTCAGCTCTCAGGAGACATATCAACCCCGAGATTTGATGATTATTAATCAAACGCCTTTTTCATTAGCAGAGCAGTTCGAAATCCGATTATTCTTTATTAATTAAATTTTTCTTAAATATTAAATAAAATAGGGTTTCTCATACATAGTCGCATGACATTCAACTTACTCTTTCTTAAAGCGCATGTTTGGTCAAGTATTGTCGAAGGTGTGAGCAAAGATCTACACAACAAATAAATTGTACTGCAAATATAGACATAAAAAGATATTCCACCACTCACAAGCGAGTAGCAAATGTGAAATTAATTTTTAAGAAAATTTCCCTCTATTTAAGGCTCAAAGTCAGCCAACGATTACGTGGCTTAGGATGGGAATTCATAGTCTGAGAAAGCATTCATGGGCTTGATAATCAATGAAACGTTGAAATCAATTGGTCACTGTACAATGTTCTATGCGCATGACTTCTTGGATCGCCTCGTGTGGTCGATCTTATTATAAAAAAATCATCGCCATTTTGACACAGAGTTGTACATGCTCTACATTAAAAAATGCGGTTCTTATAATTGGTAAAAGTGAACAGTAATATCACGAATAGAACACTACCTCCATCAATATTTTCGTAACGACATTTCCGGGACAGAAAATGCGTTTCGAAAATGCGCGCGTTGACCCAGCGCAACAAGCGACACCCTCGCCGCAAGCAAGATAATACTCTAATTGCAGTTTCGACAGCGACATATATGACCCGTGTATACATTTACACTATTAAAGTTTCACATGCGCATGCTTAAGTTAACAATCTAGACAAGTACAATCATAATTGCGAATGCTTATATACTGTAAAATGTCAGCGAAATCGATCAATAATACTCCACAAGAAGACCAGAAAGACTAAACTCTACATGTCTGAAAATATTATTTTTAGCACATTGACTTAGCAAATTATAGGACTGAAATATTTGCCTAAATAAGTGCTTTTCGTATGGATACATCTGATTTCGTTCAATTTGCTACTATTATCGTTATTATAGTTTATTCAGTTTAGATGCAACCCTTTAGTAAACCACAATTTAACGTGGCTTACTAAAAGTAATTTGTTAACTGTGCAAACTTCCCTTACAGAGAGTTCCGCACTCTATATAGTAACCGGTCTTGATATTCATCGGACAACTTCAAGCTTGTCCAGATGCTGAGCTAGTCATCTTCAGCTTCTTTCTATTTCCCGAAGTTCAGATTCGATACTCGAATACAAATATACTCTAGTCGATAATAGCAACAAATTCGTGAGAAGCAAAGTACCTTATAAGACTAAACCACACACTATGTTACACACTTACAGGAAATCGCGGTGTAATGAAGTGTTGTACAATTTGTGTAACGGCTTTGTCGGCAAAGTGATTGCTCAATACGGAACGTTCGTGAAGTCCTGCGCGATGAGACTCCAGGGAGCTCCTCCTCCAACAGGCCGTTTTGTACCCCCCCAAGGAGAGGGCAGCACGATTTGAGAAAGGGACGTAGCCTGATTAACTCCCATGAGGTCGGCCTTCAATGACAAATCCCTTGGTGCTAGATCAACACGAAGTAGCCGAACGAATACACCCAACGTCATGATGCGACACAAACATGGAGTAGTTACGTCATACAAAAAAGGTAACTGCAAATGTTTGTGAACTCCGTGATGCTGCAATAGTGGGATACAAATGGACCCAAACATATTAATTTCACTAAAAAGTAAATTGTCCCTTTTAACATTACTTTGTGGATTGTTTATAGCGAACTTGTTCAGGTGGGTCCTCTGCCAGTTTTAACTACTGACACAATATCAGTATGATGTTAAAGTCGCCAACTGAAAGTTAATTCTCTGCTCTTTTGTGGTGAATGTCGTACTAATGTACTCCCCTTTACTTGCCTTTACGTTTGCCTGTAACCCAAAAGCACAGCATATTTTACAAAATCGCCGTAGAATAACTCAGACTTCGTGTTTAAATTGCCTAATATATTTTTTACAAGAATTTAGAAATACGAACAGTATCACTAGGTTAATTTGCTCGAAGGGCATATTTTTTACCTTAGAGCGCAGAAACAGCTTTCCAGTCACTGATAACACTTGACCATTAGCAAATGCAACATTATGAAAGAGATACGTGAAGGACATCGACGTACGTTTACCATTGGGCAGCAACGCCCATTTGCTTACTAATTTATTTATCGCATACATTTTCTAGAGATTATATACACTGGACCCTACCTAGCATTATCTCGTTATTTTTAGCATAGGAATTTTAATTCCTATTTTGTGAATTATCCCATGCTCCGACTGCGATTAAGCTATTGCTGTCCTACCATTACCAGTGTGTGCTATTGTCTCTCACGCCCTTAAGATTAATGGCGTGACAAGTAACAGAGTAATCTTTGGAGAACCAACTTCAGCTTTCGATATTCTATGAAAAAGACAGGCTACTCAACGACCAAATCAGACAACGTCCATGAAAACGTCGGTATCTTTTAGAAATATTCACTTGTTTCTTGAAGACGATACCATACTCTATATCATGGCAGAGAATGTAAAAGGTACGTTTTTTTAAAAAAGAAACTTAGTGGCTTCTGTGTAATGCTTGACAAGGTCAATTTTTAAACCTATCTGTTGTGAAAACTCTTAACCGTTGTCGATGTAATTTCTCAAGGTAGTAATTTTCTTACAGTTTGCATTAAAGTCTATAGACAAGCATTTTATACGTCTTAACACAGAACCATTAATCCCGACCTTTCGTTTTTAATGTACTATTTTCTATATTTCGAAAAATCACAAAGCTTGTTAGAACCGCTTTCGAAATAGTCCGCGCATACATGAAAACTCTTGTTCGCGTTAATATATGATATATCAAATTGCATTTAGGTTGATCGTTACCTTTTTCTGTCTATGTTCTTGAAATAGATAGAATCACTAATGGGCTCATTATTGTAGCGAAATAAAGAGTTGGAGCTTCTGTCATCGACATAGCGGGCTATGATTTGTATAAATCGTAATTATTTTCTGAAAATTTTAGAACGGCCGTCATTCGTTGAACATGCAAGGCAGTCTCCATGGTAAGAAAACGTTTACACTTCGTCTTGTAGCAATAAATTTTGCTCTAAATTATATTAAATCCTTCTCAATTATTCGCGGTTACTTTTTCTTTAATCTTGTCAGCGTCATGGTGTTATGGATTATCTCAAAGCGGTGGGCAATTGATTGGCGTCTTTTTCGGAATTATTCAAGGACGCACAGCTAAGCTGTGCTACCAAGTGGTATAGTGTTGTTGTACCAAAATTGTAGCACTGCTAATAAATTGACTAAAAATAAGAAAAGAGCAAAATAGTGTACGCAGTATATATAAAAAGTGAAGGAGCGTAAGGAAAGATAAAAGTAGGTTTACAGTTGAGTCAGCCGTGGGTTTACAGTCCAAGCAGCATCTTTCTCTACGTTGAATGACCTGTTTTCTTACGTCGTTTCACTGGAGCTGAAACGTTTTGACGTTAAGACGTTGAAAAAGGGCTTGTAATTTGAGGAATAAGGGGACATATATTTAGTACTCGCGCCCAGGGACAGTAATGATATACAGGTTAATCGTTTAACGTAACTATTAGGAATCCAACAATGCATTAAAAAAGTACTGGTAGTTGGCTTAGATCGTTGAATTCAGATTTTAACGGTTATGAATCTGGCGTCCTATGGTACTGTAGCGACTAAAAATAAGCAAGTTAAGTAAACGCTCATTGGACAAAGGTCGATTGCATGAACAAATGACAAGCAGATGTTACTCAGAGTTTAGTACGATTTACTTCATTCAAAACGTGGTTTTTGGAAGGATCAGTCCTTCTACGAACTTGTTGCTTTCAGAGTGTTCCTATATAACTAACTGATCGCCTTATGCTAGAAAAAAAACGAAGTGCAAAATATTTGGAAAGGCTGGAAATTTCTGCATACTTCATTGCCCGCTGTGGATGATCTGACACGCAATTATCATTCGTCTCTAAATTAACTATCGATTTGGAAATCAACTTTTCAAATCAAGAACATTGTGAACAATTTGTTACGCTTTTTTTTTTACCTAAACCTAACTTTAGGAACTCTCGTGTAAAAGTAATTTTTGGATTTCTCAGAAATTACATGCCAATAACTAGGATCCTAGAGAGTCGATATTGGGTAGATAGAAAACTTTGTTCGCTGTGGTTACGCTTTAAACCCGACGCGCGCTACTCGGCTATGATAAGCTTGGTTTTGATAATATCGGTGCTAGTTAATTATCATGAGATAACAAGAAGTTGCGATACCATAGGACAAAATTCGATTTCAAATTCGCTCGATATCCTGGTAACCCGCTGGCCACCTTCGGTGATCCTTAGAATCATAAATTTTAGCTATTTTTTAAGCCGGATATTTTTAGATAGGATATTACGGTGAGCTGGCAACTTTAAAAAGCTTTTAAAGCACACAGCATAGCTATTGATATATGACAATGCGTCTTTCAAGCAGCAGCTGTTTCCCCTATGGAAAGTAAGATACAGAATACAGACGCCGACGTGTAAAAGGCGCTCACAACGGGGTGTCATCTAATATATCAATGTAAGTTGACCAAATTCGTTTAGAAATCTTTCGACGGCCAACGTAGTTTAGACGTGAATTTTAAAATGTTCGAACAAACATATCAGAGCATTAAGTAAGCAAAAACGGTTAAAATGCCATATAATGGATAACAGAGGTACTATATATATTCTGTATATAATAAATACCGTGCATGCTATCTGTTTGTTTTTAACTATTTGATATGATTTGTTTTTTACTTTTATTTAGGCAGCTATATTTTGTGTAAGAAATGCTTAATTAGATAGCGTATTTGAGTATATTAGCATCAATTCTATGGGTCTTTTTTAATATAATCTAAATCTTCTAAATAATTAAAATAAAGCTTCTAGTTATCGAAGCTAAACATTATACCTTGCTCCGCTTTACCATACTTACAAAGGTATACGAGAAATCTATCTGCCTGCTATATAACTAGCTTCTGGTTGGAAAATCCCACCAAAAGACATATACTACACAACCTGTGTGTTGTGTAGAAAAAAAATGTAATATGATTGAAATTATATAAATGCCTATAAGTTTTGGTCTGGGTGTCTGTCTATCAGTCATAAATCAGCTTTTTTTAAAGTCGACAGGTTACGTGTCGCTAGAGTCTAGGCCTGAGAATATCTGCACGGAAGATGGAGCCGGTTAGACGTATATGTTTGCTCTTAAAAGGAGAAGTCAATTTCTCACCGATAGCGTTATGTGAATACGCTGTAACACTGGATACGAGTTCAATTGTGACAGCAACGCTGGCCAATGTTGATTGGAGAACTGCGTCCGCGTGAGTGAACTGTGTTACGGAAAAATCGTTTTGAGTTTGCGCTACGTGGACCTTCCCGACAAAAGCTGTCTTTCCGCCTTTGGCCAACACTTCGCGTAGGATGAACTGCAACACGAGTGAAATGCTACGAAGGCCTGACAAAACACCTGCACATTGCGACAGGACACCGGAAATATGCATATAAAGCTACGGGATCTGAGTTGAATAAGGCTTCAGAGTTACGCCGCGCACACAGTGAAAGGTTAGGTCCGACTCTGGAGAAAAAACTGAAACTGCGTTGCTTGAAGGAGCGTGCTCTATGAATGATTGTCTTAAAACTAAAACATAAAAGGAGCTATTAGGTTTTGTGCCCATCAGGGTTACGGGGGCCTTCATTTCTTGCTGGAGTAAAAGTAAATAGAATGTGTGTAGTCTTGTGCTGCCAACATCAAGCTCAGGTATGTCTTCAGGCGGCGCGATACATACTGTAACTGCCGTCAGAGACTTATTGCAATGTCGAATATGTTATTAGGATATATCAATAAAAAAAGCAGAGTGGTTTAATCGAGATTACTAATCACTGCAGGGTAAACGAATATGTTACGTGTTATGTGATTACTTTAGTACTACGACAGGACTACTGAATAAAGGGGTTGCTGGCACGGTCAAGGACTATCTTAGCTGGATTGTTGTCGCAGGATAAAAGAATGCAACGTGCTATCCACTAGTAATAGAGTCTGTGTCTGCGTAAGGTTGATGGGCTGTTGGAACATTTCAATAGGAGGATGAAGCAGGAAACCTGCGATTTTATAAATGTTGCCCATAGAGTGACTGCACCAGAAAAGTTATTACCGGAACTAGGCCGAGATTATGACGTCGGTACTGTAGGAGCGTAAGAGAATTGTAACAAGATGTTATGGGCCTTCAGCCGAGCTATATTTTCTGACACGCATCATAGTGGTTCATATTAACACAAGCTCATAAAACAATTCCAAGGAGATAACAGCTCCAGTGTAGTAGAGTAACGACAACGGAATAGCTATTAATGCGTACTTAAGGTGAAGTTTGGGGTTGGCTCATTAAAGTATCTAAGGATAAAAAAAAAATCGTGTTGTTTTGTAAAGTAAATGGTTTTATCAAAAATTCGTGCTTTAAGCTAGTATCGTCCAGATATGATCTGCGCGTGACACGGAGCTGCCTGAGTATTTTTTGTCGGAGATAATTTTTTCCCTCCGTCATGGGTAATGCTAATTAGAAAAGCTGACTATTTTAGTGCTTCGAGCA